ATGTGATAGTTTTCTTTGATAAGATAACAAACCTTGTAGATAAAGAAGTGGTACATGAGGTATACCTACATAGACTCGCATGACCTTCTTACCAATAAATTAGGGAAATACAACATAGATGGGGGTAGAAATGTAGCCGTGTTAGTCTGGTGTAGCTGAAACAAAATACAGGACTATGCAGCACTTTAAAGACTAACAAGATGGTTTATTAGATGATGAGCTTCCGTGGGCCAGACCCACTTCCTCAGATCAAATAGTGGAAGAAAATAGTCACAACCATATATACCAAAGGATACAATTTAAAAAATGAACACATATGAAAAGGACAAATCAATGGTTTACAGTCATCCTGGAAGGGCATAGAATCATAGAATACTAGGACTGGAAGGGACCTCGAGAGTCATCGAGTCCAGTCCCCTGCACTCATGGCAGGACCAAATACTGTCTAGACCATCCCTGACAGACATTTCTCTAACCTGCTCTTAAATATCTCCAGAGATGGGGATTCCACAACCTCCCTGGGCAATTTATTCCAGTGTTTAGACTGCAGTGGTTAAGACTTTGCTAATTTAAAACAAAGAGAAGCTGTGAGTAGGGGGCAAGCCTTGCTCACAGAAGTTGGCAAGAACAGGGCTACTAATGCAGACATAGTCAGACCTAAGATGTACTAGCCACTAGGGATATAAGCGACTAGTTGACTATCTGATAAGCAAATGCTTATCGGATGGTTGACTAATGACTTGACTAGTCACTTCCCCCACCCTTACTGCCTCTATCAGAGAGAGGCAGCAAGAGGAGGGAGCAGGATCCGGTACTGCAGGGAGCCGGCTTAAAAGCCCTGAGCTACCGGCGCTTTGCTTTTGACATGTACAAGAGCATTCCTGGGCAGCATTTCAGAGGCGGAGAAGCCCTTCTTGATTCATCGAATCGTCGTTGTAAACTACATCGACGATTTGATTGGTTGATTAACCTAAATTGAACCTCCTTACTAGGCACAGGCCATAAGCACATTCCAAAGAGGTTGAAAAGTTTCAGAGGGGTAGCCGTAAACATTTTAAAAACAACGAATAGTCCAGCAGCACCTTAGAGACTAACAAAATATGTAGATGGTGTCAGGAGCTTTCGTGGGCACAACTCACTTCTCCGGATGAATGGAGGTAAGGCATCCAGGGTACAAATAAATAGCAGAGAAAGAGAGGGATGGGGAGGGACAAGTGAAGGGAAAAAATAGGAAAAAATCTTGTCAATTAGAGTGTCCATGCTAAATGAGGCTAATAAAGTGGGCTCTGAGTGCCTGGTGCTTAGTTTTTTATGTCATTTGGGCGTGGAATGGAGCAGTCCATCCAGTTCAGATCTTTGTTCAGACCTTGATTCCAGGTATCATTTAAAATATAAAAGGCCTAAGGCTGCAGCTGCTGCCATTGCCACAGTAGTGACAGCAGTAGATGGGAGCTCCCGG